CAAGAAAACATTTCACGCGAACTCCTTTATCTCTTCCACGGCCACAGTTCGGATGGCACTGACTGGCACCCAAGGACACCCGAGAAATTAGAGGCGGCCTGAACCCCCACACGGACTCCAGTCTCGTCACCTCCAAATCGTTTTCCTGAACACGGCACTGGAGGCTTAACGGGGCCTTCCCCTGTCTCCACGTTCCCCCCTCGCATCCCGTCACTGCATGTGCTCGACGATCTCAGTGTCGTTGTTTCGGATCTCTTTCCAGGGGAAGAATTACGGCTTCTCTCCCTCAACGGCCGGGAACGCAGCTTGCCATGTGACTCGGCACGTGTGGCCTTGAAACGCGTGCACCTTTCTCCTATGTATTTGCCCTTATCTGGACACAGCCCGAGGCAGAGAGGAAGCCCGAGGCATTGTCTGTACAGAATCCAGGAATCTAAGAAAGCATGTTCATTGCACATAGGTGCCACTGCTTCTTTATCCACTCGTCTATCAGTAGGCGCTTCGATTGCTTCCCGATCTTGCCCGTTGTAAATAATGCTGCAGCGAACACAGAGGTACATGTATCTTTTTTACTTAGTGTTTTGGGTTTTTTCAAATAAATTCCCAGAAGTAGAATCGCTGGGTCATAAGGCAGTTCTATTTTTAATTTTTTGGGGGGGATCCTCCACACCGTTTTCCACAGGGGCTGCCCCAATCACCACCAGCAGTGCACAAGGGTCCCCTTTCTCCACATCCTCGCCAACACTTGTTTGTTGATTCACGGATGGCAGCCATTCTGACGACAGGGGTGACCCCTTTGTACGTTACATAAATGTCCAATCGCTATGCTGCACACCTGGAACTAATATAATATCATATATCAATTGCAATTAAATGTTTCAATTATGAAAACGGAAACGTGTGTTCAGCTCAACACACCCTGTTCTCCACAGCGGCCACGCCGACCTCCAGCCACGCCGACCACCGCACAGGTCGGCCCCTCTTCCCCTGCGCCTTTGCCAACACTCGCTGCTTGTCTCCGTGATGAGAGTCAGTCTAACCGGTGCCAGGTGGCAGCTCACTGTGATTTCAGTTTGCATTTCCCTGACGGTCAGTGACCTTGAGCACCCTTCCACGTACCTGTTGACCAGTTGTACGTCTTCTTGAAAAAATGTCTATTCAGGTCCTTTGCCCTTTGTTTCAATCAGACTATTGGTGTTCTTGCTACTGCGTTGCATGAGTTCCTGTAATACCATGGATAGTCACCCCTGTCGAACACGTGGCTGTAACAAACTGAAAAGGCAACCCACAGGTATTTGTTGTGACTGTTCCCCCTCGGTCAGTCCAGAGGCGAGTGACAGGTCATACCCAGCTGGCCACGGAGAGGTAGGTGGTCGGGCGGTGGGATGCTTGTGCAGCCAACCCGGCAACAATGCCACAATAAGACAGGCTAGGAAGGGGGTCCCCGGACAACGCCGGGGCAGCGCAGTGGCCAGTGTATACCATATGACTTCCGAAGACCCGTATTCCAAACCTCCTAATGAATACTGAGTGCGGCGTTGGGCTATGTCCATTCATAGATAGCATTTTCTTAAGTCTAAAAAGCACATTGCATCAGGGCAGTGTCATCATAACTGACTACAGGTCATTCCCAGCTTGGCTCATGAAAGTCACAGACCCAAGGCCAGACATGAACTCCAAGGCCAGCGCATTTTCCATAACATCAGAACCCCTTTCAGCCACAGAACCAAGAAGGCAGAGCAGCGATCAGCCTTGCTGGGCTCAGAGCAGCGTCTCCCTCCCGTCTCTCCTCCCCAGAGTCTGTGGCAAGCCTTCTGAGAGCCGATCGTATCGTTATAGCCCCATGACGCCGACCTCGGCTACTTTTGTGGTGGTAGCAGGAAAGCCGCACAGAAGGTGGTCTCAGTGTGCCCGAGAGCAGCCTTTCACTCATCCACTCGGTAAAAATGCTCGCGGAGTGACGACCGCGAGCCCCGCAGCCCGCCGAGGACGGGGAATGCTAGAGAACAACACAAGCAGCTCAAGTGCAAGGGGGAAGGTGAGCAGGCAGATCGGTCCAATGCAACGTGCCAGATCCTATGGCCGGGGATGCTGCAGAGGAGGCACAACTCTAGCTCGGTCTGGAGAGCCAGGGAAAAGCTTCTCCCGGAGAAGGTAACACCAGGGCTGGGCCAAGTGAGGAGCCAGGAGAAAGCAGGGGAGGGGCACTGAGGGCGGAAGGAGCACCGTCGGTGTGGGGGGCCTTTGATTTCCCACACGTGCCGTATTCTGCCTCTAGGAGAAGGGCAGAAAAACCACATCTCCCGGACCTGGTTCATTTAAAAAAATGCACTAGATTGTGAACCCACGGCTAGCCCAATTTCCCGGCCCGCTCACACCGTTAGCCACAGTCCAGAACAGGATAACGGATGGTTCAAAGCATAAAATTCAGTGCCTTGCAAAATCCTGAATCATCAATGAAAGGTTCGGTTCTGTTCGCTTGCCTGGACTTCCCCCTACGCTGCAGGGAGCACGCCCAGGGCCTCCACGGGCTGGGCCGGGCACGCTGCAGACTCAGGAGCTCAGGCAGACCCAGCCCAGCATGGGCTGCCCTGTGCGACTCCTCCTCACTGACGGGGACCCACGTTCCCACCACCAGTCTGGCCCCCGTTCCCCTAATTCTGACCGGCCCCTGCTTTGATCCTAAACTCCATCTCCAGCCATTTGTCAACTGGGAGCTGGGAAGGGGAGGCAGAGGCATCACAAAGAGCCCTGCATCACCCACGGGGCCAGGGGCGTCCAGTGACGCCCAGAGAAAGACCAGGTATCCTGCCGTTGTCGGCAGAGGGTCGGAACCAGGATCCAGGCCCAGAAGCGGAGTCGACCCACTGCACGCAGATGTGAGCTCCAGAAACGTTCGCGGGGGGATCTTGGACGAGCAGTTTTATCTCTGGAAGTCTTCACGTCCTCGCCTACAAAACGTAGGTAATCATTCCCACTTCCCAGGTCCACGGTGACAAGTTAAAAGCAGCTGGCTAGGTGTTCAACTCTCCCTGCTCCCACAGCCTTACATTCTCCTGGATCCCTCTGGGACACTGGGGCTCCCGGTTTGGCGTCCTCAAACCTGCCTCTGCTCGGGGGATAATTCTAGAAAAGGGCCACTGAGGTTCTGGCCATCACAGGCCCTGGCTACCCCTCCCCCAGGCCGGGCAGGGCAGGGCAGGGCTGGGGTGCTGGATGGAAAAGGTGGGAGAAGAAAGACGAAGCCCACAAGCTCCAGGGGGACCCTGGGTTCGGAGGTCAGCCAGTACGTACTGAACCCCACTGGTGTGCAAAAGAACACGTGAGCCTGTGTGCGTTTGTGCACACTCACATAACGGCTGTGCCTCTTTTACTATCACATGTTCCAGTGCTGACTTCAGTTCAATTTAACTAAGGATAGTGCTCGAGCCAGAGGGACGGATGCGTTCTTCATCCCTTGTTACCGCCCGAAGAAAGCCAAGTGGAAAGGCAACAATTGCTAACCCTTCTCTCCCCCACTAACACCTGCACACACAGGAGGATGCCGAAGGCGCCACCAGCCCAAATCCAGTCCCCGCCTGGAAGCCCCCTCCCTCCTGCTGGGTCCCCAGTTTCCAGGGAGGCTCCCTCTCCAGGCTGCTGCAACCTCCTCCAGAAACCTGTTGCCAACTCAGAGGTTCTGCGCAGACCACCCCACCTGGTGGCCAGACCTGGAAAAGCTTTCCCGTCCGGGAAGATGGGCAGGTGGCGTGCCTCCCAGGCTCCCCCGGCTCCCTCAGGCCCCATCAGCCACGGAGGAGGGCAGAAAGGAATATCCGATGCTAAATGCAGGAGAGGGGTCAAGGTCGCGGCCAATTCTCCACCCAAATCCTGGTCAGGTACAGCCTCTTCACAAGCAGCCATCAGGATGACTAAGCCACAGACAGGAGGCAAGGGGTGGCTGACATGCCCTGCCAGCCCCAGGCGTGAGCTGACAGCCGGGGTCTCCCCTCCCCACGGAGGAGCCACCAGTCCCGTCCTCTCCCTCCGCCCAGAGGGCCAGGGGCAGGGGGAGATTCCATCCCCCTCTGGCCACGCATTTCCATTTCCATCCCGACCAGCAAGGAGGCTTCTTCTGGGGGAAGGGTGTCTGGGGGCAAATCTCCAGCCCAGGCCTCTTCACAACCCCGGTTTCTGCCCAGCCAAAGCAAGAGAAAGGGCAGCAGTCGAGGCTGAGGGGATTTCAGGACCACCTCACACAGATGTCTTAACCCAGATAAGCCCCCCCGGGGCCCTCACCTCCAGGCACTGTTAAGCCCCAGCCGCTCAGGCTAGGCTCAGCAGCCTGAGATACACACTCTCCCTTCCCGTCTTAGGAACTTCCCTGAAAAGAACCCGAAGACATGCATTTTGACCAGCCCAAGTCCGCAGTTAGAGCAACACCAGGATATTTTCTGCATCAGGATGGAGTCTTAAGTAGAGTAGCCCCAGCAGGAAAGCAAACATCTCTCTCCCCCCCCTCCTCTCTCTCTCTCACACACACACACACACACCCCTCACTGTGGGCAACTCCCACCCCCAACTCCAGGATGTACCATCGAAACTCAGTAACGACCCCAAGAGAAGGGGCCCGCCCCAAAGCAGAGAAACACGGCGCGCAAGGGAGGTTCCGCCTTATCCTGTTCAGCCTCCACGTTAACTGGGAAAACCACCTAATTCTTTCCAGCTTGGATGCCAGCATCCGGAGAAGGTGCCATAAATGCGCACCCGCACGCCCGTAGACACGCCAACCCAAGCTCCAAACTGTCTAAGGAACCACGCTGGGACCTTTTAAGCCTTGGGGTTCAACACCCGGAGAGTGCTTCACGGGTACACAGACCTTCCCAGCAGAGACGCACGTACTGAGGGCAGGCTGGTCTCCAATTCAATTTAAAGCCCCAGAGCGCTCCTCGGCTCCAGCCTCCACCCCGAACCCCAACCTGCGCCGCCGCCAAGGGGCGCCCCGAACGGCGGGTACTCACACAAGCGCGTGGTAGAGCAGCGCCCAGCCCCGCGGTCTCTCCAGGGCATCGTAGATCAAAGTTTGGATGCGCCGGTACTTGGCGTTGTTCCTCTTCACAGGGCGGCTCAGAGGGGTCTTGGCCAGGAGCCCGATGCCCTGCGGGGTCCTCCGCAGCCCCTCGTCGCGGCCGCCGCCCTCCAGCAGCAGGGTCCCGTCTTTGTCAGCTCCGGCCCCGAGCGCCAAGGTGACTTGCTCCACCTCCCCGGGCGCCAGCCCCACTTTCCGCTCCTCGTCGCCGGCCGCCGCCGCGTCCCCTCCGGCCGGGTTAGCGGCCCCGCCGCCTCCGCCGCCCCCGCCGCCGCCGCCGCCTGCCGCCCCCGCCGCCTTGCGCGCCTTGAGCCCCATCTGCCTCGCCCCCGCCGGCCGCTTCGCCTTCTCCGCTGCTGCTCCGGGAAGAAGGGGCGCTCGGGGTGCGTGGACCAGGCGGCGGCGGCGGCTGCAAGCCCGGGAACTCCAATGCCATGATCCGCGCGCCCCTCCCCACCCACCGCCCCGAAAGCAGGCAAAGGCGGGCCCCCGGGGGGCAGGGGAGGCCGGGCGGGGGAAAGAGGTTCACATCCTGCGCGGGTCAGCTGCGGACCCGGGGGGCGCGGGCAGGGGACTGCGGGAAGCGGGCGAGGGTGAGCGAGGCTGGCGCGGAGGCGCTAGGGCGCGCGGCGGCTGGAGCCTAGCCCCGGCGCTCCCGGGCGGCGGCGGCGGCGGAACCTAGGCCAGCGAGCCCGAGACAGCATCGCAGTTTATTTACAAGCCCGATGCCAGCCGCCCTCCCGCCCGCCCGCCCGCCTGCCACACGCGCCGCCGCCGCCGCCTCCTCCCTCCTCCGCGCTCCCCGTGCACCCCTCCCGCCCGCTCCAGCCTCAGCCCCGCACCAGCAGACGCCTGCGAGTGAGCGAACGCCGCGGGCCGAGCTCTCACCGCCCCCCTCCCGCCCTCGTGGGGTGGGGCCGCATTGTCCCGCCCCGCCGGCGCCCCGCCCTCCTCGCGGCGCCCACCTCCGCGCGCCCCGCGGGCCGGGGATAGCCTGGGCCTCTTCTCCCGCCCCTTCGCGGCATTCCCTGCGCTCCAGTGGGCGTTGGGCTTCCCCCGGGCGGGGCGTAGGAGTGGGGGGAAAGAGGCCAAGGGGAGGGTAGCTCAGGAGGGGGTCTCCCTCCCTGCCTTCTCCTGGCTATTGCAGCTAGACGATTCTGGTCACCTCCCACCTTGGCTTCTGGGCTTCGGAAGTAACATCCAAGTTGCTGATTTGGCCAAGGCCGAGAGTACAGCGAAGCCCCTGCTCTGTCGTAGCAACGTGGCTCCAGTTCCCTTTGCTTCACGGTTTGCGGTTCTGGTGCACCGCGCGGCGCTCACCTGCCTCGGTCCCGTGGACAGCAGCAGCCCCTCCGCCAGGCCCGGTGGACAGAGGGCTGGAGAGAGAGGAAGGGCACGCGATTAGAATCCTAGTCTCCTGCCTCGCTCCTCACTCGTGCTCCAGGCCACTCATTCCCTACCTTGCCCGAGCTTCTGTTCTCATTCACGGAACCGGTTGCTAAACCCAGCAGAGTGAGCTTCTACCGAGGGGGGCAGTGTTCCCAGGCCAGGCCACCCGGCGTCCCTGCGCCCAGACAGCGTGCGTCCCAGCGAGAGCTGGGAGACGGCTGACACAACCCGTGTAAGTGCCAACACTGGTAAATGCTGGGAGGAAACGCGATAGGGTGCTGTGCTACAAGTGGGGGACTTCTTCATGTCGGCCTGTCCTGAGAAGCCTCATTGCAGGGGTGACATTTGGGGGCAAGGCCTACATGACGATCTGGGTCAAGGAGGTCAATGTCCAGGAGAGGCCTCCTGGTGGCAGGGCGGCGAGTGCACAGGTGAGTGAGGTGTGGCTTGAGGTTAGGGAAGGGTGCAGAGCAGAGGCAGGTGGGGCCCCAGGCGGGCGGGGCTGGATCCTGTCAAGCCCAGGCAGAGGCCCGGTGAACCTAACTCCCCCTCCCTCCCACCACAGCCACCAAGGTGGCTTAGAGAAGCCCTCCATTTCTGCCGCACAGGTGCCCCCTTCACTTCCCACCGTCTCCAGTTCTGTCTGCAGGCTTGGGGAGGGGGAGGGGCCGTGAGCCAGGCCCGGCCAGGAATCTGTCCCCAGTATGGAAGAGAAGAGGAACCAGAGTGCCTGCCTTGGGATGCCAGCTCCGGATTTGCCTGGAGCAGTTGGCCAAGGAGAGTGAGAGGAAGAAGGGAAGGAGAGGGGAGGGCAGAGGAGGGAGAAGCCGTGGGGAGGGAAGGAGGGTGGGGGAGGACAGAAGGGAGTGTGAGTCTATGGGGTGGGGAGGGGTGTGAGAGGAGGACCCTTACGAAGGACCATCAGAGGGGTCAGAAGGACCTCAGCAATTTCACAACCAAGAAGGGGGGAGTTTCGAGAAGGGAGTTAACCTATACCATGAGGCTGAAGTCATCAAAACGGTTTCATATGGGCCCCACAATAAATTGCTTGATGCACCAGAATAGCTTGCTCAGAACTGGATAAAATAAGAAGAGTCATCACAACCTGCCGGAGAAAGGTTACTCGCCGGTCAGCGGGCTGCTGGATGGGTTCTGTGGGGTCTACATGAAATACACAGCACAGTGCTGCCCGTGCAGTAGGGCCCCGTAAATGTTTATGAATGGCTCTGCTACATGCTTCTGATCAACGCTCAGCAGCGAGCTGGGGCATACACAGTACGTCAGTGCAAGCTCCGGAAGCGGGCACAAGCCCAGAGGAAGGGGATCACTTGGGTTTGAAAAGCTCCCAGTGGTCCTGGCTGGGGTGGCTCAGTGGATTGAGTGCTGGCCTGTACGTCGAAAGGTTGCTGTTTTGATTCCCAGTCACGGCACATCCCTGGGTATGGGCCAGGTCCCCAGCCGGGGGTGTGCAGGCGTGCTCAAGACTGACGTGTTTCTCACACGCTGATATTTTTCTCCCTCCCCCTCTAAAAAAAAAAAAAAAAGGAAAAGCTTTCAATGGGACCTGGGTACCCCAAAGCATGCTGTGAACTTTTGTTCGCCCTGCACCCCCAACCCACCAACCATACATGCATTGTGCCAGCCCAGCCCTGCCTCCCTAGGGGGCAGCTCTGCTCTTCCCACTTGCATTTTGTTGACTTGTTTCCTATTTCCTCCCTAAACAGGAGCTGGGACTCAGCAGCCTCTCCCCGAAGCCTAGAAGGATGCCTGCTACCTAGTCGGCTTTCAGCCTCACTCACGGCGTGACTGAGTGATGAAGAGACGAGTACGGGCTGGAAGACCCCCAGGCCCATGCCCGTTGCACAAGGCAGGCTTTGCTTTACGCGTGTGGACGAGAGTCTTGTTTTTGTCTTTCGTCATCGTGCGAGTCTGTATTCTTAGACAGTGTTAGTGCTCGCTCGTCGCAACCGAGGTAACGTGGCGACAGAAACATTTTGACAGAGCTTAAAAAGCCTCGCTAGATAAGCATGAAAGACTAGTCAAGGACGAGAGAGAAAGAAGACAGAATTCATTACTGCGCAATTAATCGAAAGTTCAGATTTGCAGAATGGCAGTTGGGACCCTTGGGCCCGTGAAGAGGCTTCTGTCTTGATGAGAGAGCTACAGACTGTCAAATATTAATGTTGCAAGATCAAGTGCAGGGGCTATTTCCGTGCCTCCCATGAAGGGTGAGGTAAGGTCAATAACAAATTCATAGCCTTGATTCAATTAAATCCAATAGCAGGGAAGCTGTGAGGGCTGTTTGGAAATTGATTTGCTTCAGCGGCTTTATAATCCAATAGAGAGAGCCGTTCAGAGAGAGGGTTTGGAAACGTCAGGAAAGAAGGGTACACTCTGAGTGCCCCTTGGGGGGCTGTGTCATCACAACACTCCACAGCACAGGTTCCAGCGAAAGGAAATCAAATGTCCTGTATCCTACTGGAAGGAGCCTTCTTTGAAGTCGAAACTCCCTGAGAGCCTCAGGTACCAACCAGGTGTGGTGGGGCTCCACCCACAGGATGCCCCACACACACACCCCAGCTGCCATGGATGAGAATAAGTCTACCAAGACGTGATCTGCTTGGGGAGGAAAGGGGGCCGATCTCTCAAAGGAGAAAGGCCAGGACCCTGTTCCTCAACGGGCTTTTTGGGGGTTCAGTTTGCACAGGAATACAGGTAAAGCTCATCAGTCATTGTCAGGCGGTAAGGATCAAACAATAGATAACATACAAAGAACTATGAGGGCTTATTCTGAGTCAGGGTCAGTTAGCTAAAGGGCTATAAAACTTTGGGAAACAAACTCATTTCGTGCTTGGACCCTTATCAGAAAATTGAGACCCTTCTTAGCAAAGCAGGTTTTACAAGATTTTATGCATTCTTTCTTAGGCCTGATCACCCTGGGGAACCCGCCCTTTCCAGCACAGGGCCACACCCACCTCCAGCATTGTGTCAGGCTTAAATCAGGCAGGGGAAGTAAGGCAGCCAAGAGATTAGGAGACTTCTCACAGACAGAATGAGGACTCAGGCTATGTCAAAGCCAAAGGGTGGGGGTCCATCACCCCCTTTCTCCATAGCTCCCCAAGTCCTTTCCTGAGACCCCCCCCTTGTGACCGTGCCTGTCTTAGGTCATCCCTCCCTTGAGGAATCTTACCCATCATTGGCTAATTGGTCAGGCTCAGGGCCAAGCAGGGTGAAGTAAAGGAGGACAGAGGTGGTGCCCCTGCCAGGGAGATAAGCTTTGTCTCCTTAGTGGCTTATGGTCCCAAGGTCTCTCACTCAGCCTTAGCCACAGGGGATTACAGCTTCTGAAACAAGGCAGGATGTTTCCCAACATGTGGGCCTGGTCCCAAGACAGAGTTCAGTGACAGGGTATTTACAGGGACCGGGCCAGGGGTGTGGCGCAGCTCCCGCAGCACACCTGACCTGCAAACAGTGGGGGCGAAAGGTGAGCCCCCAGTGCTGCACCTTCCCAGGGGGTCCAGCTGGTCACCTGGTGGCAGCTTGAGTATCCTGGACCTTCCAGCACGGGTGGGGGAGGGGTGGTCCTCACTGGAATAGACACATCACCTGTGTGCCTGATCGCCTCCCCTGCCCATGGTGCTTCCACCAACATCGCCACCCATGGGCCTAAAAATGCCTCACTCATCATCATAGGGTTCCAAATACAACCACTTCTGATCAAGCCATATCCTCCGTCCCCCAAATGCTGTCAGTGCCCCCTGGTTAGACATCTACCTCCGGGAAGAAGCAGGGAGACAAGTCTTGGCAGCTAAGGAGACACCCTTTGCTCTTCTGGAAGAGATGGGACAGGCTCCAGTTTGGGGTCTTGCAACAACCTAGGCCACAAGGAAATCTGTTTGGAAAGGAAGGACCCCATGCATGCTTCCCCTCTATGTATGTTTTATTCTTAAAATCCCAGCTGGAGGCAAATCCTCAAGTTTGCTGCCCTCTTCCCTCCCTGCCTTTGCCTGCCGCCCTTTCCCGAGGTCTCACCTCACCCTACCTGAAGGCAGATGACCCTTGCCCCCTGCAGGTGAGAAGCCTTCCTGGGAATTAACGAGGACCGAGAGGCCAGAGGGGGCCCTGGCGCATGTCAGCAGGAGGATGAGGGCACCTGCAGGTGCGGAAGGTAGACCCCGGCTCAAATTCTGGTCCCGGCTCTGGGACTGCGAACTAGTGACCTGGTGCCATTTGCTGGACTCCTACCTACCCTCAGTTACCTCGTGCGTGAGCTGGGATCGGGTTCCCCGCCCCCCCCCCCTTGCGTCAGACCTGGTCTGCGCAGCACCATTAGGAGACCCCCATCGAGGTGGAGCTCTGCAGCCTGGGAGGCACTGTGCGCACCGACCACATCACCGGAAGGCGTCTGGACGGGTGACGGCGGAAGGCAGCTCAAGCCGGGCGTGCTGGGGAGCGCGCGAGCTCCGGGCTCCGGAAGCCAAACGGCGCTCACCTCCGCTCCAGACGGCGACAATGGAAGGACTTCGCTTAGACTGTACTCGGTCAGAAAGAGTGTTTCTCCGCCCTGCCTTGCATTGGCAGTCCTCACGTCAACCTTTACATTTATTTTGCGCGTTTCTTAGTGCCATTTTTGTTCTTTTCTTTTAAGTGATTATATTAGGTAAAATATCCAATTCATCCATGTAATGAGTTCATTCACTCAGCTTTCCAGGGGGCATTACTGATGGCCTGTTTCACACATTTGTGTGTGCTCTCTCTCTTTCTCTCTGGGAAACCAGAGGGAAAAAATAAAATGGAGCAATTAATTCCATATTTACTTGAAAAGATGAGACAAACAATACAGAACAATTTACTTGTCTCTCTTGTCCCTGCACTTCAGTGACCCGGTTCGTCATTATTGTGACTTGCATTTATTGAGTGCTTCCTGTATGCCTGGCCCCGAGCTCAGTGCTTTGTCTTTACAGATTTAACCCTGGCAACAAAGGCATGACACAGGCGTCGCCGTGACTGCTCTGTATGTTAGCCATGATGAATCGACCCTCAGAAGGGTGACGAACCCTGCTCAAGCTTTCAGGGCTACGATACGACCGTCCCAGGAGTCAGACTCAGGTTATCCAGCCCAGCAGCCCGTGTCTTTCCCATCGCCGAAGCCCTGCTCCTTGCTGAGAGTGCTGTGCCCCGTGCAAGTCTCTGCACATGCAGAGGCTCAGAGCCCAGGCAGAGTGTGGAGTGTCAGGGGAGGAGGTTCGGAAGGCTGGAGGCAAGTGTGAATGGAGCAGGGGCATGCGGGGCAGGCTGGCCTCTGACCCAGGCTTACAGACTCGGGACTGCCCACGAGGTGCCCTTCAGCTGGACTGATGGGTCCCCAGGTGGTTTCGGAAAGGGCTTCCGGCAGCCTGCCTGGAGGGGTGGTGGGCAGTGGGAGGAACTAACTCTGTGCGAGCAGTTACAGGCCTCCTGGTGGAGCCCAGCGCGGGGGGGGGGGGGGGCTGCCAAGGTCCAGAAGAAGGGTGGCAGGTCCTAGAGGCGAGAGGGGGGACGGCGGCAAAGGGTGTTCAGGAAGGAGCGTCCCCAAGAACTGGGATCTGGAAAGAGAAGGGCTGGTCACACACGTGGCGTTTCGGAGGCATGAACAGACTCACCGCCTGTCCCAGCCTCCTCGCAGCCCGACCTGGCTCCCTGCGGAGCTGAGCGTCCCTCCTCTGGCCACAGCCATTGGCTCCCTGGGAAGGCCGTTCCTTCTCTTCCCGTCCAATTACTCCTTCTCTTTGGGGCCTCGATTGTTCAAACACCCTGTGTGCCACGCCATGTACACATTCCAATGACCCGTCGCCACCTCCCTGCTAAAGAGCCCCTGCACCTGCGTTCGGGGGCGTCCGGCCGGAGCCTGCTTGCGCAAGGAGGTGACAGTGAACCGCAAAGACTCTAGTGACTCAGGGTGCCTTCAGACAAGGAGCTCCTCGTTACCCACCCCCACAGACTCCTCAGTGCTCCGTTTACCCCCGAGACAGGGAGAAAAGCTCCATGCCCACTGGAGAAGCGCCCTCCCCGAGATCACGGGAAACCCATTGTGCCCTAGCGAATCACCACGCACAGAGCCTATTATGTCCAAGGTCTCCCTGATTCCCATCACCGATGCTTCGCAGAGGGCAAGCGGGTGCCTGGGTGCTAAGTAACGGGACAGAGGATTATGGGTAGCGGCACAATGACACTGAGGAGGGGAAACTCAGGCGTCTGAGACAGTCAGCTCTGGGCAGGAATCCCGTCCCTGCAAAAATGCTCAGTGTTTGATCCTGGGTAGATCAAGTGACCAGTCTCAGCCTCACCTGGAAAACAGGAAGAAGAATTACCGTGAGGGGACGTTTCAGGAGTGAGAGAGCTAACGTCTGTAAACCTTGGGCACTTAGAGGCACTTAACATACGTAACTGATACGCCATGACTGCTAGTGTATTAATTATAATACTTTTTATTAGTGTGATATCCAAATTAGAACAGAGCTTTGGGGTGTCGAACCCAGTGCTGCGCCACCTTTGGTGACAGTGACATGTTAAATCACAGCCCAGTCTGCATCATATCCTACACGCACAACTAACTGCGACAGTGCCATCGTGACTGTGATGACACCTTCTGATTACAAAGTGCTGATTGCAACTTGTTTGTTCACTAGTGCTGCCAAAAAAATGAAAAAATAAAAAAACAAAAACAAAAACAAACCACCACAGACTGGGTGCCTTAAACCACAGAAGCGTGTTTTCTCACAGCCCCGCACGCCAGCAGGTCAAGACCGGGCGGTCAGCGGGGCTGGCTTCTCCCGAGGCCTCCCTCCCTGGCCTGCAGCTGAGCTGCCTTCTCTGGGGGCCTCACACGGCCTCCTCCTCTCTGAACGCCCTCGCCTGGGGCCTCTCTGTGCGTCCCAGTGTCCTCTTCTCAGGAGCACACCAGGCAGGGGGACTAGGGCCCCACGGAACAGCCTCACTGCACCCGAATCGCCCCCCGCAGGGCCTCATCGCCAGGTGCAGTCACACCCTGAGCTGCTGGGGGTTCCTCGGCGTCAGCGTCAGCGTGTGAATCGGGGGAGGACACAGCGAACTGAGCCCCAAACGCGAACCCTCTGCAGCACTGCCACATCCAACGAAGGGGTCGTGACCCTAGCCTGTCAAATGTCAGCCCAGTTCAATCGGCAGCCCAGCCCCTTGTTTTCCCCGTGCGTGTCTCCAACAGGTTGCCTCCCAAGGAATCCTGTTGTTGAAGAACAAAGACAAGCCCTGGCTGGCGTAGCTCAGTGGATTGAGTGCGGGCTGCAAACCAAAGTGTTGCAGATTCGATTCCCAGTCAGGGAACATGCCTGGGTTGCAGGCCATGACCCCCAGCAACCCCACATTGATGTTTCTCTCTCTCTCTCTCTTTCTCCCTCCCTTCCCTCTCTAAAAATAAATAAATTAATTAATTAAAATCTTAAAAAAAAAGACTAGCCTGACTATATTTAAAAAAAAAAAAAGAACAAAGACACTCGCCACTTACGGAGTCCCTGCCGTGCGGCCAGGCCTGGGCGCGGCACTTCTCCGTCTTCGCCTCGTCAGTGAGTGGTCACAGCGGCCGACGAAGGGGGCACCATTACCCGAATGTATATTTAAGCATGTGCGTGGATTGTCCGAAGTCAGGGGACACTTGCTGGGCAGAGAGTCAGACCTAGATTGTTCTCCATCCCCAGGAGACAGCGCTCCCATCACTGGAGGGTTCTTCGTGATGAAACACGCTTTCCCTGGGGGACGCGCACCCGTGGGAGGTGCGAGGACTCAGGGGTCTCGGCGGAGGGCAGCAGCGGCAGCATGGGCATTAGAGTCTGCAGACTTAGGCTCAGTCCCGACCTTGACGACACTTGCTGGCTGGGCGGCCTTGGGGCAGCTATGTGAGTTTTCTCACACTCAGTTTCCTCTTCAGGAAAATGGAGAGGTTAATAACATCTATGCAGTACGGTAACGGTGAAGTTCAAAGCTAACTTAGAGAGGCCCAAGGGACTTCTTGTTGCATTGCATATTTTGGGGGGGGAGGGGGAGACGACATTGTTATTACTGCCTGACCCATTATTTATCTCTATGAACCTCATTTCCCATTATTATTATTATCCCCATGTTATATATTAAATATTAGATACATAATAACTTCCTCAGAAGTCTTTTGAAAGATGAGATCATGAACTTCATTGTCTTGACTTCTCTTTTGATGCTACAAACTGAATATTTTAAAAATGAAAAGCATACTGTATGTCCTCCTCAAAAGAAGAATAGCCAAGATTTTTTATCTCAAGTTAACGCTCCTCCTTTAAACGGGTGTTAGTTTGTGTATGTTCCGAGACCATCTCAAACAGGCTTCCCGGGCAGAAGTTCTGGCCGGGATTACAAATCCCTGTGTCCCCGAGGAGGAAGGAAGAAGGACCAGGCAGGTGATGTAAAATCGTGGAGCTTACGTAAAGTGCAGTTCACAGCTCCTAACACAAGAGGGAGCAATTCATAACTGCTCAACAGCGGGGGCAAGTATGACTCTGAGGATGGTGACACGAAGCACCAAGAGGAAGAACAAAAAGAATTACGGGAAGGAGGGGGAGACCCTCAGACTCCCGATTCTGGGAAGGCAAGGCTCCCCCAGTTAGTTCCCCACCTGCTAGGCCTCATACAGGGCCCCGCGTGGACTGGGCCCTGTTCTGCGGGGAGGTTCCTCTGCCCTGCGACACTGCACTTCCCACCCCGGTCTCCCCTCTCTCTGCGGGGGACGCCCCACGTGGTTGTCACCCTCCTTCTTTCTCCTTGGTCCTGTACCATGAAGTGTTTTCCCATCCATTATTTGAGGCAAAAAATGAGAATGAAACAACATATTAAAATAACCCGTGCAATATCATATACCACTTATCAAAATTGCATGTGCCATACTATAGCTGTCTTCTTTGACTTTGAAATTCGTTCTCAAAAGCCTTCAAGGAAAAGGGCCCCTCGGGGCGATGTGCCGAGAGCGTTCTGCTACTTCGTGTCCCCGCAGGCACTGACGGCCCTGCAACCCCGGAGGACGAGACAAGACAACGTGTTCCTTGGCCGACTCTGCATGGCTGCCATCCACTTGACATTCCAGGCAAGAGACTGAAATATCTCCAGCCCCCTTCCTGTTGGGAGACGATGCCACAAGACCGAGCGGGCCGATGACTTCACGTCTACACTTAACCTTCGGCAGGCCAGCCATATTTTCTTTCGCTTCTGGAGAAAGGGGCAACTAGTGATGACAGGACTAAGACCGACAGCGACCCACAGCTGTAGACCCGGGGTGGGGGGGGCCGGTGCTCAGCCGAAAAGAACAGGATTCCGATACAAAGAGTTCCTCCTTCCCCAAGAAATTGCACACATCCTTAATTCTGAAAATGCGTAATGGGAAGGACTGTGTATTTCGATGCAGCTCTGAAAGGTCGATGGCAGTCTTAATGGCTGGAGCCGTCCTTCAAATTTTCCATCCGCCTTAGAACAGGTCTAATGTGATAGCAAACAGGAAATCGACTGGCTGAGGGACGAGCCGTTCCGTTTGGAACCGTGAGCTACACGAGGCTGCTGACATTGCATATTAATTAGCT